CTGCAAGACATGTGGATGCATCAATAACCCAACCAGGGGACAGCGCTCACTGGGACCCGCGCCTTCGCAGCCATGTGACCAGAATTCTCTCATGAACCCCAAAGCAGGGTTTCCATATTTATGGGAACCACGCTTCCCAGCCCTGCTCAACCTGACAGTTCAGGTGACGAGGAGAGACCATGAGCCCCAGTCCCCTCCTGCCCTGCAGGCAGCCTGCAGTGAGGCCAGTACCTGGGTATCGTCAGCGGCCTCCACCACGGGGAAGCCGTTGTGGTTGGACGTCGTGTTGCTCAGCACGTCCACGATGACACCCACCTTCTCCCTCCTCCGCAGGCAGGTGACCGGTGTGCTCATCACCTCCCTGCAGAAAAGCCAGGCCATGACCCACGCGGCCGTGGTGGCTTCCCGAACAGTCTCTTCACAGCAGTCAAAGCCCAACAGACAGAAACGGCTGGGAGAAGGGAGCCTGGAGACAAGGCGCTGGGAGCCCAGACTCTCCCAGGAGCTCCCCTGGGAAAACCAGTTCTGGACTGAAGTCCTGCTCCAGGCCGCCCTCACCAGACCTCCCAGGAGTGTCCGGCATCCCTCACACCCCACCCTGAGTGTGGGGAGGGAGCCCCAGCCCGCAGGCCTTTCTCAGGGTACCTGGCAGTGAGCGAGTGCGAGGTGACCGGGGCTTCCCAGTGCAGGAAGGGCACACTCTGCAGCTGGATATGCATGTCATACAGGCCCTGGGGAGAGGGTGGGCGTGCTGATGCCAGAGGCTGCCTGGGGGACAGCTTCCAAGCTCTTCCCACCCCTCACTGTGGCTGCAGATCCCCCAGTCCCCTCAGCCTCAGGCGCCAAGGCTGGGGGCATGGGGAGGAGGCTGCCAAGCGACAGTGGGGACAGGCGGGCCTCTCCCCACTGGCCAGACCTCGATGAAGACGTCCCCTACGATCTTGGCGGTCATCAGCACCAGCATGATGGGGAAGCCGTAGGTCACGTTGCTGGTGGCCTCCATCATGATGACCGTCAGGCTCAGTGTCATCCTCACGATCCCACCTGCCCAGGCGGGAAGGGGGTTGGGTTGGCGGTCATGAGCCTCTGAAGGCTGCTCCATCGGTCCCTCCCGTGTCCCCTGAACAGCCAGTCCTGTCCATTCACCCCTGTGGACCATCCCTCCAGGCGACATCAGGTGGGGATGGTGACCCTGCCCCACCCATGGCAGCCAGCACTCACCCAGCTGGGCAGCCGCTCCCATCAGGGCATACTTGCCGGGGTCTGCCCAGATCTGTGGGGAAGACAGAGAAGGTGTTGGGGGTGTAGCAGTCCCTTACCCAAACCCATTAGAATGTACTGACGCCAGTGGAAGCCACATGGGCCCAGGAGGGGATCTTAATAGTTTACTCAAAAAAACGGTGTGCAGTAGCACCACCTGAATCTGGAAATACCCTAGCTGTGCCTGGCTCAGGGATGCACTGAGTGAGCTCTGCCGTGTGCGGGCGCTGCAGAACTCGGCAGGTGAGACAGTAAGGCACATGGCCTGGAGGGAAGGGCTACAGGTGTCTAGGAGGAAGGCCGGCCGCACCGCATGTGTGCAGTGACCAGCTTCTGGGCACAAGGCCTGCACCACACAAGGAAGCATAAAAAGAAGCAAAAATCCGACTTGCGCTACAACACAGGTGACCCCTGAAAACATGAAGCTCAGTGACAGAAGCCAAACACAAAAGGCCACTTAGCGTGATTTGACGTATCTCCAACCACCAGAACAGGCAAACCCAAGGAGGTGGAAAGCAGATTAGTAGCCACCAAGAGCTGAGGCGGCGACATGGACGTGACTGCGTAACGAGAACATGTTTCTTTGCGGGTGATGAGAACGTCCTGCAACATCCTGGTGGTGATGATTACACAACCCCGAATGTATGAGGAAACACCAAACTGTACGCTTTCAGAATGATGGATATTATGGTATGTGAACCACATCTCAATTAAAAAGCCCACAAAATCACATCTGGAAGGGAACCTGGGATGCGCGCGACCTGGAGACAGGTGAGGGGAGGCCCAATGTGCCCCTCTTATGGGGTTTTAGGTCTCATTTGAACGACTAACATAAAGATGAGAAATTCACAGAATAAAAACCAAGCTGCCCATGGAGGCAGGATAGAGGAGGAGGGCCAGGAGGCAGTGCTGGGGCCCCAAGGTCTGGGCCTTGCATCTCCCAGGCCTGGACTCCTGCACCTGCCTGCATCCTTTCGTACCGTGTTCTCTTCATCACCCATGCACCCTTCCTGTTGGTCACACACACGAGCCCTGCTCTCATCCATGGTGGCCTCAACTGAGCCCAGCTTCATCCCCGCAGACCCCCACTCACTGCGGCCCCTGTGATGTAGGAGAGGGAGATGCCGAACAGCCGGCCCCAGGCGGCCCCGATGAGCAAGGACGGGATGAAGACACCGGCCGACACCGTGAGCCCGTAGGTCCAGCAGGCCAGGAAGAAGTAGACCAGGGTGAAGAGGCCAAGCGTCATGGGGTTGTAGGAGCCTGCGGAAAGGGCGCTGGCCAGGACCTGCCACGCAGACTCAACCCTGAGTGGGGCTGCCTGGCCACACCCCAACCCCCAGAATCTCCCCCTCCTCAGAGGCCAGTGTGCGGGGTCCTGGGGACCCAGCCCTCAGAGGTGGGTGCCCAGCCGCCCTGCAGGTGGGGCAGAGAGGGGGCTGGGGCAGGCAAGGTCCAAGGCAACCAGCAGGGTGTTGACCTGGGCTGAGGAAAGGTGCTTGCCAAGGTCTGTGCAGACCACCGGGGGTCAGGGGAAGGAGCAGTGAGTGCAGGAGGGAGGCCACAGCCACCATCCCACACCTGGCAACTCCAGATGTGAGAAGATGTCAAGGAACCCCGGAACCAGCAGGCTCAGGCCTGGTGATGCCCACAGGGCCCTGCTCAGTGCTCCAGAAAGGGCTTCGCTTTGCCCACGTTTAAAAGTCTTTCTGTTTAGTTTCATAAACTTGTGCCCCCCCAACGTGCAAAGGTAAGGGCCAGCAGTTCCCAATGGCGATGTTTGAAGCAGGAAGCAACTAGAGACAAGGTAGACAGCTGGCAGACAGGAAGGGCGAACACGTCACAGAGCAGCCTGCTTGGCCCTCGGGGGTGCACATGGCAGTCCCCCCCTCTGGCAGTGAGACAGGTCTGCGTCCAGAGCCTGTTTTTCATTAAGAATGTGTGGCTAGGTGAGGCCTCAGCGTTGGTGTTTTGAGTCACCAGGCTGCTTTCTGACCGAAAGTGACCCCTGCAAGCAGCATCCAGAAGGAAAACTCATCTAGGGAGATGAGATGGCCCCAGTGGCCACCCTCCAGGAAGGGAAGGAGACAGCGTGGGGAGCCTGGCCGGCCCCTCCCAGGTACTGGCCACCAGCCCACACTGGGCTGCCAGCCCCTGCACTCTGGTGCACCTTAGCCCTGCAGCAAGGCAGTGACCTCTGCCCACAGTGGACACTTGGCCAGAAGGCGTCAGCCAGGCCTGGGCCCAGTGCCTGTGTGTTGGCTGCAGACGAGGCCAGAAGGGATGGGCCCAAGTGGGGACACGAGGCCAACAGCACAGAGCGCAGAGCACAGGCACTCACCTGGGGGGTCGTGGAAAAGGCTGACCACGCTCTTCTCCGGGGTGTTGAAGAAGGCTGCGGCCATTGAGTTGTACTCGCCATCGGCACAGAAGAGCTGCAAGGTCAGGAGAGAAGACAGGCCAGTTGGGATGGGGCAACCCCGGCCTGGACAGCATTAGGTACCAACCTCACAGCAGGCGGGGTCAGGCCACTGTCTCAGAGGGGACACAGGACCCAAGAGACAGGCTCAGGAACGGCAAGGGCTTCAGAGGCATGTCCAGCCCTGCAGGGGCTGGTCAGCAGTATACCTGGGCTGGACAGCAAGTCTGTCCCTGGGCACATGTGGACTCCAGAGCTCACACTTGCAGCAGCTGCTCACAGAGCTCAAGTGCCACAAGCCCAGGGACCCCCAGGCTGGGCAAAACTGTGAGCCCCTCAAGGCCTTGACCCAGAGCAGGGGCTCCAAGCAAAGCCTCATGTGTCAACCCCACGACCCTGCCAGAGCCATCCGGGGCCCCAGATCCACACCTGACACAGGCCCATCAGTCCTTACTCCCCACCCCCAGCAACTAGCAATCTGTTTTTCTCTGTGGGTGTGCCCCATTCTGGACGCTTCCCACACGTGTGGTCCCTGCTGCCCAGCTTCCTTCACTCAGCATGTTGTCAAGGTGCAGCCATGCAGGAGCCCATGTCAGTGCGCCGACCCTCCCTGGAGCTGAGTGGATCCATTATGCTACTGTTCATCGATGCTGGGCACCAGGGCTGCGGTGAATCCTGCCACAGTGAGCTCGTGTGCACAGCCGCCCCTGCGGGCCCATGCAAGCTTCACCTCTGCAGTCCTCCTGCAGAGCCTGTGAGGCCACTGCTCCAGGAGGACTGGGCCAAGACCCCAGTCTGCATGACGCCTGCTCACGCCTGGAGCTGGGCTGAACCAGCAGCCACACGGAGAGAGGAAGCAAGGGCCCCTGGGAAGGCCCACGCTGCCCTAACCCAGCTCCCGTCCCTGGCTGCCTACCTGGAGGGGATAGGACACAGAGCTCCCCTGCAGGGGCTGGCAATCCCGGGAAGAGTAAATCAGCACGAAGGCGACTGTGGCCGTGACAGCGGCCACCAGCATGGCCTCGATCACCTGGAGGCAGGGCCGGTGGATGTACCTAGAGCAAACAGCCGGGGTGGACCGGGCTGCGGGATGGCTAGGGCAGCAGCCAGGGCATCCAGAGCCTGCGACTCAGGAGAGCCATCCAGGACTCCGATCAGGAGAGTGACACAGCATGTTTAATCAGCAATCCGCCCAGACACCCGAACACTCTCCAGTTATCTTCCAGGTGCTCCCCGAGAGCATTTTAACTTGGCAAGAGAAGACAAGAAGGAAGGAGACCGAGACCCGCCCCGCAGGTTTCAGAAAACCAGCTCCAATAATGGCTCTCCACCAACAGAAGGACCTGTGTTGACCCCGACATGCCCAGGCCCAGGGCCCTGAGGGCTGAGAGACGCCAGGAAGACCCTCAACGCAGGGCTATGCCAGATCCATGGCTGTGCCTTTCCTGACATGGGGCTGCCCTCCAGGCCCCACCTGGCCCCCGGCCCTGCCGGTCTGTCCCCTTACACACACACCGCCACAGAACAATCTGTTTAGCATGTGGCTTCCACCCAACCCGAGGGCGCAGGGCCCACAACCGCCAGACACCCCGTGTGGTCACACCTGTCAACTCAGTCCCCAAAGCAGGTTTCTCACCTGATTCGAAACATCGTCAACCAGTAGTTCAAAGCGTTGAACACGGCTCCAAGGACACCACCTGGGACGAGGAAGAAGCTGCATATTCAGGACTCGGGGAAGAGAGGAGGAGGCTGCCCAGGAGACAGGAGGGGACAGTGTGGAAACACCTAACGGGTGGAGGGCTTGTCTCCCACAGGTTTTCACAGAGGAAGGAACACTGCCCAGGCCCAGCTACTTCCTGAGGGGCTTTCATCAACCAGAAGTAGAGCTCTGGTCCCGAGGGCTGGACTCCCTCCCCACTGGCCATGGGACGGCAGGCAGGAATGGGGGCCTTTGGAGCTGGGTCAGGCCTGGTCCCTACTGTCTGGTACTGTCGTGCACGAAGCCGCCCTTACCCAGCACACCCATGGCAATGAAGATGGGGATCTCGTGGATCGTGTACACCATCGTCTGCACAGACAGGGAGAGAGCGGGCATCCTGTTAAGAAAACTGTCACCAGCCCCTCCTATTCATATTCAGACTCCGGACCAGGCACTGTACAGGACATGGCCCACCTGCATGGGAACCTGGCACTTTCCTACAGGTCCTGCAGGAGAAAAGCTGGAGTAAAAGCCGGGCATCCCAGCAGACTGCCCTCCTACTCCTGCGGCTGTGCCAGAAGGCGCTCGGAGCCCTGCTTTATCCGGAGGCTCTCACCTGCTTCCCCCTGAGCAGGGGTACGACCTGAGCTTTTGCCAAAGGAGGAGTAAGTGGGACACAATTAAGGGAGAGAAGCTCCTGAGCCAGGCCACCCAAGAGTCCCGAGTCCATGGGTGAGTACTGTCCCCCAGAATGGTTCCCTGCGCGCAGCATCCCGGCAATGGCAGTGCGAGGCCCAAGCATCCCCCGACACGCCAGCCAGCACTTGCTCGCCTTCCAGAAGCTGCTGCAGGAGTCCGGCCGCCAGTCTTGGTGTTGCTGTCCAACAGTCTGCGGCCCTGAGATGGCTCTGAAGCGGCTGCTGGCTGATGGGTGCCCCACCCTGGCGGCCAGCTCCGATGCACACCTTCCTGGAGCATCTCCAGCCTCGGGGCTCACAAACAAGGGCTCTATCCCACAGCTAAGAGCTAGAATATTCCAGAAGCCTCAATCCTTAGGCTGAACCTTGAGTAAAAACGGCCTTGGCCCCTCTCAGAGAAAGAACCAGAGAGTGAGGTGGGTGATGTAGCGGGTTACCTCGGTGTCAAATCTTCCAAAGTTGATGAGGCCAGGGCTGGACAGGTCCCACACATTTCCATGGTAAATGCTTAGGACGAAATTCAAGGTGAAGGTGGAAATCATGGAAGCAAAGAACTGCAGGTAGAGAGAAATATGCACCGTCAGGGCTGTGGCAGTGGGCACAGTGGCCAAGCCCAGGGCCAGGAGGACAGGGCTGGGAGGATTGAACTGGGAGGACAGGACTGGGAGGATGGAGTCAGGAGGACAGGACTGGGAGGACTGTAGCACCAGGGCCATCTGTCTCCTGTCATCTGGGAGGCACCTGGACCCTCCAAAGGCTGAAGGAAGGCAGGCCAGAGCCTTGCTAGCTGAGCTGGGGGCGGAGGTCCCAGGATCCTGATAAGGATGAAGGAGAACCAGGCCAATAGCTCAGGGACCCAGCCGACGGGAGGTTCAGGTGCAGTCCGAGAGCCAGGTGTCCACCCGACCATGGAGGCCCAGCATCGGGGCTGCCCGACCCCAGGAAAGTGGCCATTCCAGGCACTTACAATTCTCCATGTCAGGAACTGGTTCCAGAAGGATGCACCCTCCTCCAAGCTGAACAGGACCCCACCTGGAACAGCCAGCAGCCCAGCACTGAAGCACCCAACCAGGCCACAGGCAGTCCCTCACTCACTGCTACCCATACCCCGGACTCCGGGGCACCAAGCCCACAGCAGAGGCAGCCATCCAGGCCTCTTGGGAGGCTTACCCCATACCCTCACCCAACACTCAGTCCACAAACGCAAGATCACCCCTTCACATGGCAGGGACTGCCTGGCTCCCCCAGCACAGGCTGTCACAGAGCTCTCAGACCAGGCAAGGCTGCCCTCCTCACCCACAGGGGCCCCAAACGCAGCAGACACTCCGGCCGCAGCTCCTGCCGAGACAAAGTCCCGCTTCTCTGTGTCTCTGCGGAAGTACTCGAAGATCTGAGCCAGAACAGATGGAAAGAGAGGTGGTAGCCAGCGCCTCCCAGGGTACCTCTCTCAGGAAGGGAGAAGACGGGCCCAGAGGTGAGGAGGGGAGAGGGGAGGGGAGGGGTGTCTCTGGACTAACCACCCATCAGCTGAGGGGGGTCACGGACTGTAGAACTGAAGAGAACAAATCACAGAGAGTTTCCTTGCGTACCCACAAATAGAGAAAATCACTATTCACAGCAATTACTAAACTCCGTGGTTTGTGCACGATGTACACAGAACTGAGCACCTGGAGCCCACACCTGTGTCCTTTCTGACCTCCCCTCCAGGTCACACGTTACTGCTTAGAGCTACGGGCCATTTCCACACAGAAACACACACCCACACAGAGCACCAAGACCTCAACACTCCAGACAAGACACTGGGGACCCTCAGAGGCGAAGGTAAGACTGCAGGAGGGGTGGGGGCCCAGCCCTGGGGGCAGTCGCGCCCTCACCCTGAACATGGGCGGCATAGTGAGGACCCACCTTGAAATCTCGCTTTAGTGATGTTGACCTTCCCTGGGAAATCCCAGCAGCAATCACGGAGCCGGAGTGGATCATCGGCCCCTCCTAGAAGGCATGAGACAGCGGCACTCAGATGGCGCAGCTCCAGAATAAACTGGCCCAGGCCCCACGGGCGCAGAGGGACGCAGGCCAGGGCAGTGCACGTGCTCCGTTACCTTCCCCACAGCCAGTCCTCCCACCACGGACAGGATCACGCCGGACACTTTGATCACCAGAGTCTGGAACACAAAAGATGACATGCCAAGTCTGATTAAAGGGCACACACGATCTGAGAACCTGAGCCACAGACTGAACACAGGGGGGACCCTAACCACTGAGCTGCCGAGCGGGTGCGAGCACCCGCAGTGGGGGTCCCGGGGGTGGGCTTGTGCTCTCCTGCCTTCTCGCCTCCTCGGACCTTCCATGCCAGGTGGTGGTGGACACAAAGGAGACCTGCATGCTCCAAGTTCCTCCACCTGGTGCCCTCCTGGGGCACTGGTGCCACCTGCCCACCTAGAGTGGACGTTGAGCTCAGGTGCCGCTCCCAGCCACTGAGGCCGGCCCCTCTCTTTGGCTGCAGGGCACTGAGCACAGCCCTCTCCCTGAGTGGACCACCTGCCCTGCTCCTAGAAGCACCTCCTCCCTGGACAGGGGCAGGAAAGAGGCCTCCAGCAAACAGCAGGCCAAGGCACGCCGACCGCACACCTGGAAGTGGGAAGAAACCTGACTGGTGCCCAGAAAATCATGTACAACAAGACTAAAGAAAGTTCTGAAACAAGGGAAAAACTCGCCATTCCCACGCAGCTACTCTCATTCTGAAATATCAACCACCACGTGAAACTCAAAACACGTCTACGCAACCACAATCATAACAGATGCACCTTTTTAAGTGTTCTTGTAACATTCAAAACGTATGAGACAGTTTCACCACTTTCCAAAGAAAGGTCACACAACACCCTTCAGCACATCTGCATGCAAGCTCGTCAGCGGCAAACGGCAAGGGCCTGGCTGAGTTTTGGAGGCACAGGTGGACAAACGAGACCCTTCTAACCCAGCAAGGCGGCCCCCTGGGCTGAGCCTGAACTCCCGGCGGGGCCGCCACACACCTCACCTTGAGCCGGACCACGTGGGGGATCTTCACCCCATTGAGGAAGCACTTGATCTGGGGGATCCCGCTGCCAGCGGCGACCGGCTATGAGGAGAGGGGCCAGCACTGAGCCAAGAAGGCCCAAGAAGGCATGCCCCATGGTGCCCAGACAGGAGAGGGGACGGGATGGGCAGCCAGATAAGGGGCTTCTTGCCTCTCTCCACCCACCTGCAGAGCGACCCTGAGGGGAGCAAACTCTGTAGGGAGCAGGAGAGGGGGCAGAGATGGAAGGTGGCCCAGTGTCCCCTGGGGCAGGACGACAGGAGGCCCACGTCACACACACTGAGGGGCCAGAACTCAACATATACTTGGGGCCCACTGCACTGCACCCCAGACAGAAGCTCTGGACACTGCCCCTTCTTCCTTCCAATGCCCCACGACCAAGGAGGAGAGAAGAAAGCGGCAGATACAGGAAGGGAGAAAAGAAGGAGCACTCCAGGCGGGTCGGACCCACACATCTGGAGCACCCCCCAGACAGGGGCTGCTGGGTGCTGCCCTGGTCCCTGCTGCCTGGGGTGGGCGTGGGCTTGTGTGGCAGAGCCCAGGAGTGTTGTTTTGGCTGAACTGCTTGACACCGGACATCGGATTCCACCAGAGTCTAACCCATGAGTCTCATGGGCAGACACTGTGGAGGGGTGAGCTGGAGGGGTGCCCACCTACCTCTATGAAGGCCACTATCACCGAGCCCAGGAGCACGAAAGCAGAGTTCAGAGTGGCCCACAGCAGGAGGGAGAAGGACAGCCCGCCCTTCTCTGTGAACTTGTCAATATCTGGATCATCAAGGACCATACGGCATCACCCTGGGTGCCCCTCCCCAATGGAGCACCTACTGGTCTCAGGGACACCTTATAGCCCATCCCCCACAGACATGCAGCCCCCACTCAGTTACACCCCGTCAAGGACAGCAGACTGCTGGGGTCAGAGACTCCTCCCATTGGTCCGCTCACTCCAGGTGACCAGATAAAGGATACTGTCCTTGACAACCCTGTACTTGAGGCCGGCCAGCTTCTCCACCACGATGTCAATGAAGCAGGCCACGAGGCCTGTAAGGATGCCAATCATGGCACAGATGACCCAGCGCTTGATCTCCACTGTCCGGAAGGCCTGAGGGGGCAGAGGGGAACCCGTCACAAGTGGGCGCGGTTGTGAGATGTCCCATGAAGCTGCTCTGGTGACCCCCACCACACACTGTTGTCCTCGGGCCCCGAGTCCAGGAAGAGCAGCCCCATCAACGTCTCAGAGACAGTAGGGCACTGGCGGGGGGATGGTCCTTCCCAGCCAAGTCGTACTCAGATGCTAACGCTATGAAGAACAGTCCTCTCAGCGGTGCGAAAGTGACACACACACACCCTTCCCCGTGCTGGGCCCCAGGGGGTGAAGGGGGAGGCAGGGTTGCACTGCTGCGCCCAGGTTGAGCAGTAGAGCCAGGTGCACACCAGCCTGGTGATTAGCCCAGGCTCACCGTGTGGTTGATCCGTCTCTCCTCCTCCAGGAACAGCTGGTTCTCACTGTTGTCATAGTCCAAGCTCTGCAGACCAGGACAGCAGAGATACACCAGTGACTGACCTCCACCCGCAGGCTCAGGGCAGGTGCGGTGGGGAAGGGCAGGGCATGGAGCAGGGGGCTCACCTCGTACTTGAGGGACAGCAGCTTCTCATTGTGTGGGATCTCCTTGGGGAAAGGGTGAGGGGGGTCCATCTCCTGTGGGAGGAAAAGGCAGAGCTGATAACCCCGCACAGGCAAGAAGGAAGCAAAATGCAGGGTGGGGCTTGTGCCACCCCCAAGGCATGTACTCTTCTGACACCAAAGCCAGACCAGGACACAAGGCAGGAAACCACACACACACCCCTAATGAACACAGACACAAAACCCTCCATGAGACAGGGTGGATCAGGGTCTGGGACACTGCACCACACACTTCCCAAGCAGGTGGGGTGACATAAAAAATTGATTAATGTAAGCTGTCTGTGGTCTACGTCCCAGGTTCCAGCACCAGCTCCTAACTCCCCCCAGCCCCCTGAACCTGGCATCTCTGGGTGATGAGCGGGTCTGTGCTATGAGAGGGCTGGGCTGGGGGCCAAGACCAAAGAAGGATGAGAGGGCTGGAGACCGAGCTAATCACCAACGGCCGAGGATTTAATTAGTCGTGCCTGTGTACTGGAGCCGCCATACAAACCCAATATGAAGGGGTTCAGGGAGCTTCCGGCTGTGAACATGTGCAGGTGTAGGGAGGGCAGCTCCCGGGGAGGGTGTGGGGGCTCTGCACCCCTTCCAATCCCTGCCCAGTGCATCTCTTCCATCTGGCTGTTCCCACGTCGTGGGTCCTTTACAAAGCAAAGTGTTTCCCTGAGTTCTATGAGCCATTCTGGTACCCCGAGGAGGGGGTCGCGGGAACCCAATTTACAGCTGGTGGGTCAGAAGCACAGCTGATGACCTGGACTTGTGACTGGTGTCTGAGGTAGGGGGTCTGTTGGACTGAGCCCTCAGCCTGAGGGGTCTGTGCTGACGCCAGGCAGTTAGCGTCAAAATGAAGTGATGTGTGTGGGACACCCAGGTGGTCTCTGGACAATCAGAGGATTAATTGGAGTGAAAGTAAAAACAGTTCGAAGCTGTTTCAGTAGAATAAAGCACAAAATCCACAAGAACACCTCAAGAGACACACAAAGAGCATCTGACAAAATTCAACCCTTCATGATAAAAATACTCAATAAACCAGGAAGAGCGGGATCTTCCTCAGCCTGATCAAGACAGAAAAACCCCAGGCAACGTCATGCTCAGTGGTGAACAACTGACTGAAGCTTTTTCTCCAAGATCGGGAACAAAGCCAGGACATTTCTACTCAGCTCTGTCCTGGATGTGCTACCAGGACAATCAGGCAAGAGAAATAAGTGAGTAGCACGCAGACTGCACAGGAAGAAGTGAAACAAGATCTTCTTTGCAGATGGCATGGTCTTGTAGAAAATCCCCTGAAGTGCATTACAAACAATCAGAATTGACAACAGATTCAGTGAGACTGAAGGATACGAGACCAGGACCCAAAAATCAAACGTATTTCTATGCACCTGCAATGAAGAACCCTCAGTGAAAATAAGAAAACTCTATTTATAATACCACAAAAAATAAGATACATAAAATAAACTTATTTCTAAAATATGTTTTACAAAAGCAGTGAAAGGCTTATATGCTGAGAATTACAACACATTGTTGTAAGAAATTAAAGACCTATGTAAATAGAAAGCTGTCCTGTACCAATGGACTGGAAGACTGGATATGAAGATTTGATGCCACCCCTACCTAAACTCCAGCTGGCGGGGACTGAGGAAATTGACAAGCCGAGCCTAAATTCCACGTGGAAACACGCAAGGGGTATGGGATCTCAAATAGCCAAAACCATCTTGAGAAAGAAGAACAAGGCTGGACAACTCAAACTTTCCACTTTCAAAACTTACCACAATGCTACAGTCAACAAGATAGAGTGGCCCAGGCACAACGACAGACTGAGAGGTTGATGGAAGACAACTCGAAGCCCAGAAATAAACCCGTAACATTTACGGCAACTGCCCATCGACAATGGTGCCAAGACAACTCAAGAGGGAATGAGTCGTCTTTTTAAGAAATGATGCTGGGAAAACTGGGTCTCCACATGCAAAAGAATGAGGTTGGACCCTTGTCTTACACCACATGAGAAATTAGTGAAAACGGACCAAAAAGATCTAAATTGTAGAACTCTTACAGGAAAAGACAGAAGTGACCTCAGATTAGGCAGTAGTTTCTTAAATATAACTCCAAAAGCACAAGCAGCAAAAGAAAAAATATAGAACAAATGGACTTCGTCAAAATTAAAAGCTTTTGTGCCTCAAAGGACACAGGCAGAAAGTGAGGAGACCACCCATGGGCCAGGAAAAAGCTTCTGCAAATCACGTGTCTGATGAGCGATCTGCATCTAGAACACAGAAAGAATTCTCACAGCTCAATTACAGAAACACAAGCAGCCAGCTGAAAAATGTGCACGGGGTCTGAAGAGACGTTTCTCCGGAGAAGATACGGACGACAGAGATGGCCATGGGCACACAACAGCAGAAGCAGCAGGGAAACGCAAATCGGGACTACAAGATACCCTTAAGGAGGTGGTCAAACGTTGAGTCTGGGGCGGGGGGTGGGGGCAGGGTGGGGAGTTCACGAAATGCTCCCCTGGCAGCTGCAGGACAGCTCAGCCCCCACGTAGGGGCAGGAAAGGGGGACACTACTCATGTCCCAGGGCCCACCAGCCTGAGATGCCCCCTCCAGGCCACCTGGGGCCCCCACCTGCGCATAGCTCGCTCAACGTTCCCTGCCAGACAGGCACCCCCCCACCTCCGCCCATTGGGCTCAGCCTCAGGGAACGAAGCCCCTCAGAGCAGCCTTTCCTGGTGGCCCAGGCTCTGCAGTCCACGTCTGTCCCTGAGCTCGGCACAGAACCACTGTCTGCTCTCCTTTTGTTTGGTGTCTACTGTCTGTCCCCTGCTGGCTGCGGCTCCACAGAAGTGGCCTGACCTCCCCAGGCCAGCACACATGGGAGACACAGGGACAGGGAATGACCACCACTTACGGGGTCCAGAAGCTCATCGTCCAGCTCCAAGGTGCTCATCTGTCCAATCCGGAAAAATGCCGAATGGGGCGACTAGAAGCAGAAGAGAGATCACAGGCCACTTAGCTATGGGGCCACTCTGCACCATGCACATCCCCCCACCAATGTCCTGGCCTTGCCTGCCCTGCTGTGGGAGCACAGACCCACACCTGCTGTGTGGGGGATTCCAGTAGGGCCAGTGCCAGACTCCAGGCTCGCTGCTGAGACCCAAAGTCTGTCACTGAGAAGTACAGCCTCCAGAAGGGAAGCCCAGGCCTTCCGTACCCGACGAGGCCCTGCCCTCCCCTCTTCTAGGGCCCTTCAGAGACTGGAGAGAAGACACCAGCCAGAACCCAGGGCTGTGGGACGACCACGCCCGTGTCCTCCTGGCCTCCTTCCCTCCCTGGCTTAGAAAACCACGGTGTTCCAGGGCCCCTCCTTTAGAAGCCTTTCTGTTTCCCCTCCTCCAAGTCTTTTCAAGTCCTTTCTCTGTGTGTCTCCATTATGAGACCGAGTGGCTCTGCCAGGTGGGGACCTGTCACTGGCCTCCAGGCTGGCCCCCCAGACGCACAGTCAAAGGCACCTCCTCCCCTGGGGCAGGTCAACCACAGAGGACAAACACCCAGGCGTGTGACTTCTCATTCCTTTGCCTAGGCACAGTGGAGGCCAGGAGTAGGAAACACAGGTCGCTCACATTTGTGATTCAGAGAAACCAGAAGTCACGCTGTGGCATGAGTAGGTCCAAATGCTGCATGGAACATACTGTACAGAAACACGACCCTGTGCTCCTCTGAGCTGCAGGTGCCGCTGGGCGCCCTGCATCTCATCCGGCTGCCACTGCTGCGCCTGCCACACCGCAGCCCAGAGGAGCACGAGCCCAGGGCACACTGTGCCTCCAACACAGGAAGTTTAAAGTCAGCAACACTCACCTCTGCTGCTACCAGTGGTCACTGGTGGTTGACTGCTATGGGGGGGGGCAGGGACACACGAGGGGGCTTCGGGGATCTGGCTGACTCTGCTGGGGGGTGTGTCTG